CAAGACGCGCCCGCGCTGGCCCACGATTCCCCCCAAAACGACCCCAGAAATGCCCGGGACGGCTCCGAGGCAGCTGAACGGCGCTCCAAGAGAGCTTACCCAAGAGGTTGTCGAGATATTTGAAAGAGCGTGTTCTACCGCTGCTGGCGGAAAACCGGGGGGGGTCACTACCGGTTCGAACCCCTCCCCCCCCCCCCCCCCTCCGGAAAACCGGGGGGGGTCACTACCGGTTCGAACCCCTCCCCCCCCCCCCCCCCCCTGCTCATCATGAAAAGGGGGGGGGGTCACTACCGGTTCGAACCCCTCCCCCCCCCCCCCCCCCTCTCGAAAACCCAGTGGGGGTGCGGACAGAGGTGGGGACGGTGTTGGTGGGACAGTGGTGAGGGGATAGCGGGACAGTGGTGGGGACAGTGGGACAGTGGGACAGTGGTGGGGACGGTAGTGGTGGGGACAGTGGTGGGGACAATGGTGGGAACAGGGGGGGACAGTGGACAGTGGTGGTGACGGTGGTGGTGGGGACAGTGGTGTGGGGACAATGGGAATGAGGTGGAAACAGTGGGACAGTGGAGGGTACAATGGTGGTGGGGACAGTGGTGAAGGCGGTGGCGAGGACGGCGGTGGGACAATGGGACAGAGGTACAGTGGGGACAGTGGTGGGGAAAGTGGGGACAGTGGTGGGAACAGTGGGACAGCTCAGTGGGACAGCGGAGGAGTCAGTGGGACAGTGGGGACAGTGGGGATAGTCGGGCAGTGGTTGGGGCCGTGGAGACAGTGGGGAGAGTGGAACCGTGGTGGGAACAGTTCTGGGGACAGCGGGGACAGTGCGACAGTGGTGGGGCCACTGGTGGGGACAGTAGGGGCGGTGGTGGAACCAGTGGGGACAGCGGTGGTGAGGACAGTGGTGCTGGGAACACCAGTGGGGGATGTGATGCGGACGGTGGTGGGGACCGGGAGTCGTTTGCTGGCAGTAGGGGCAACCAGTGGGGGCGGTGGTGAGGATGGGGTGGGGGATGGGCGGACGGTGGTGGGGACCGGGAGTCGTTTGCTGGCGGTGAGTAGGGGGGGGGGGGGGGGGGGGGGGGGGGGGTTCGAACCGGTAGTGACCCCCCCGGTTTTCCGGATCCGAAGGGGGGGGGGGGGGGGGAGGGGGAGGGTTCGAACCGGTAGTGACCCCCCCGGTTTTCGAGGAGGAGGGGGGGGGGGTTAGGGGAGGGGGGGGGTTTTGCCGGGGGGGGGGGGGGGGGGGGAGGGGTTCCAGCAGGGGGGGGGGATTTTCGGAGGGGGGGGGGGGCGACCCCCGGGTTCCGGAGGAAAAGGTTGGCAATTTTCCACAGTAAAGCGGCGGTGGATCACGCTCTCTCAGATATTTCAGCAGGGCTTCAAGGTGGCCCCCAAAATTTTGCGAGCGCCGCAATTGTGAATTTCGTCTTCGGTGGAGCTCCCTATGAGGCCAAGAACCGCATGAGGGGTGTGCCAATGTATGGCGGGGAACGCAACGCGGAAGAAGACGATGGGTTTGATAGCGAGAGCCTGAGAGCGGGTGAGTCTGAGCACGAGTGGGTCTGATTGTGCATGAATCTGCGTTTGGGGGAGTCTACGTGGATGAATGTCGACGCCAATATCGACGCCCCCCCTCTCGTGGATTGCCCCCGCTTCCTCCCGCTCTTTTTCCCCCTCTGTGCCCGCGCGCTCCAGTGCCCAAGGCTGCGGGCGCAGCGCAGCGCGGAGTCCCCGCGACGCGCGCTGGTCGCCCCGAAGGGGTCCCAGCAACGCACGCGGGTCGTCCGCTGCGCGGAGCAAAGTGAGCTGGCTGGCTGGCTGGGAGCGGGCAAGGCTCTGGGCGCCGGGCAGAGCGACGACGGGCGAACGAGGCGCTGGGCAGCGCGCAGCACGGAGTCCCCGCGAAGCACGCTGGTCGCCCCGAGAGGGTCCCAGTCCCAGCGACGCGCACGGGTCGTCCGCGGCGCCCGGCCGAACTGTGGGACAGCCTTGATATGGCGCGGCTCGGGCGGGCCGCTCCCCAGGTCATGCCTCGCGGATGAACTCGGCGAAGCCCAGCTCCCTGGCGAGGGTCGTGGCCTCCCTCCTGCGCCGCTTCGTGCGCGCAGCAAACTGCTCCAACTGCTTCCGCAAGCCCGCCGGCGGCCCCGCCAGGAAGAACTCGATGCGTGGCGCCCGCGTGAGCAGGAGGTCCTCGTGGCGCGTGGCGCGCGAGAGCAGCGCGTAAAGCTCCAGCCACCAGTCGTCGTCGTCGTCGTCCTTTTTGCCGTTCCCGATCTCGCGGCGGCCGCAGTCCAGGATCACGCCTGGGCGACGTCGGCCGCGGGAGCAGCGCGTGGGGCAGCCAACGGCCCAAGGCGAGAATCCACATAACCAGAAAAGGTATGGCTGCGGATCGCTCGTGCCCAGGAGGTTTGGCCGTGGACTGGCCGGGGGGCGCTGTTCCCCCGCCCCGTCGCCTTCTCGCGTGGTGCGCTCCTGGCACGCCACCGTGGTGATGACCCTGCCGTGCGAGAACGGGAAGCCCGTCCGGGTGACCGGGAAACCCTCCGAATCGGCTCCGGCTTGCTGTTCGCTCTTCTCCGCCAGCTTCGCCAATGCAGCAGTGATCAAATTGCCCTTGCCATGTCTAGTTCCGAAAGCCTCGGCTTCCGCAGCGTGCCGCAGGAAGACGGATTGACCATCTATGTCCACTTTCTTCGTCGGGAAAGGCGCGAGGAGGAGACCCAATCGGTCCCTCGTCATGGGCTCCTCTCCGGCGTGTGGGCCGACCACATCCTGAGTGGCGTGTTCCACTGCCGCCCGGCGAAGGGCATTGTCATATGCGTCGCTCCGTGCCCCCTGCATCTGGCGGTTCGCGCTGACGATGGGACTCCCCCGACTCGTGCCGATCGTCCCCGAAGGGAGTCACGCTCCCGTTGGGGGTGGGGGCGAGAGGGGGGATATGAGCTCTAATGCGTTCCCGGGACCCCTCCCGGGGTCCAAACGCCTCCGACTCTTCCGATGCGGAGCTGCGTCGAGCCTGGCTCGGGGATGCCTGATCGGTCAAAGCTCCTCCTATGCGCGGCGGTTCGTGTCGTGACGACCCTGTTGCTGGTTCCTGACACCGCGGGCAAGTTTCAATCTCGAACGATCTCCGCTCCTGGAGGCCCCTGGATGCTCTCGACCCCATCTTCGTTATTGATTTCCCGCCGTGGGTGGGGGGGTTGGGAGGGGCACCCCTGGGCAGCGCGCCCTATCCTCGCCAAGCTGTCTCGCCTGCTCGGCGCTCTGCAATTCGCCCTCTCCTCGATCGAGGCCTCGATGTTTGAGCCCCGATGCCATGAACGCAACGCGGCCTCCGGAGGCCGCTTCTGGGCGCTGGGGCCCTAAACAAAACTACCCGGGACTGACCGCCGGGATGGGGTCGAGAGGTCCGGGGGCTTCGCAACGCGGCCAAACGTCGGAACCTGGAGCCCTAAACAATATTACCTGGGTCTGGCCACCAGGATGGAGTCGAGAGGTCCGGGGGCGTCGCGACGCGAAACAAATCGGAAGTCTGAGGTCTCACCCTCCTGGCCAAGATGTCTCCCCGTGCTCTTCTGCTCCGCTCTGATATCCGTCCTCCCCTACCCGTCATCCTCCACCGTCCCGTCCTCCTCCTCCTCCTCCTCCTCATCGTCGTCGTCAGCAGCGTCAGGATCGTCATCGTCCTCAGCAGCAGCGTCGCCATCATCATTAGCATCGTCGTCATTAACGCCATCTTCTGGACGATGATGATGATCATCGTCATCGTCATCGACATCATCATCATCATCATCACCATCATCGGCATCATCATCAGCACCATCATCATCGTTATCGTCCTCACTGTCATCTTCGTCATCGTCACCATCGTCAGCATCATCATCATCGTGACCATCGTCATCAACAACATCATCACCAGCATCATCATCTGCATCATCATCAGCCGCATCACCACCATGATCTCCCGCATCATCATCATCATCATCATCATCATCATCATCATCATCATCATCATCATCATCATCATCATCATCATCATCATCATCATCATCATCATCATCATCATCATCATCATCCGAATCACCATCATCACCATCATCATCTTCAGCATCTTCTTCAGCATCACCATCTTCGTCATCATCATCATCGTCATCATCGTCTTCGTACCAGTCGAAGGGGGCTACCTCCTCTTCCTCCTCATCTTCCTCCCACTCCCTCTCCTCCTCCTCCTCCTCCTCCGACTTCCTCCTGCCCCTCCGTTCCTCCGCAGCCCACTCCGTTCGTCCTCCTCAGAACTCCGACGGCCTCCGACGCATGTGTCCGCAAGTCTCCGGACGCATCCCCGAAGCCCCCCGAGGCCGTCAGTGGGCCTGGAAAGCCCTCGACAACTCTCGGGCAATAACGCCAGTGGCTCGGGCACCCGGGCTGGTTGCGGCGATCGCCCCTGGAACGCTGTCGGCGAGGCGCAGCTGCTGGGTTACACATCGCAGCCTTCAAAAACGAAAGCATGGAACTAACCCCACCTTCGGACCGCCGCCACTGAGGCTTTCGGTGGAGCCCACGAAACGTGTCAGGGAGTGCCACGAAGCGCTGTACTGGGTGGGGGAGACGCGTGCGAACTGCGCCGCGGGGACCTTCGGTGGAGCTCCCTATGGGGCCACGAAACGTGTAAGGGGTGTGTCGAAGCTGATGGCGATGATTGTGACGATGACGGATATGATGACGACGATGGTGACTGCGACGATGACGATGATGACGGCGATGATGATGCTGATGGTGATGACGATGACGATGATGATGATGATGATGATGATGATGATGATGATGATGATGATGATGATGATGATGATGATGATGATGATGATGATGATGATGATGATGATGATGATGATGATGATGATGATGATGTTGTTGATCATGATGATGGTGATGATGATGATGATGATGATGATGATGATGATGGCTTACTGGCCGCGGACCTGACAGACGCCCAGTGGCACCAGGCCTCCAGGGGTCTGGCGTGCGCCGGCCTGGGCTTGCGGCGGCTGGAAGCGCACGCGGCGGGCGCCTACCTGGCGAGCCTCGGCGCCACGCGGCGCCTGTGCTCGGAGCTGGACCCGGCGCGCAGCTGGGCACTGGAGGATGCGGGCACGCGGGCTGGAGCTGCTCTCTCTGCGCGCAACGCGCAGCTCCCGCAGTCCGCCGGCCTGCGCCCGGGCGCTCTCGAGACGGCCAAGCAAAAGGACCTCTCCGCCGCGTTCGACGACTATTGGCACCGACACTTTCTGGAGAACCTCGGGGCAGCCTACCGCGCGGACATCCAGTCCGAGCTGCTCCCCGGCGCGTCGGGCTTCTTGGAAGTGGCGCCCAGCGAGAAGCTGGGGCTGCTGTTCGAGCCGGAAGAGTTCCTCACCGACTCACCGAACTGAGGAGGCGGCTTCTGCTGCCGGTCTACGACGCGGACCACTTCTGCCCCTGTTGCGACGAGCCTTGCGACCGGCACGGGCGACACGCGGGCCTCTGCGCGGGCGCGGGGGACCGGGTTTGCCGGCGCAACGCCGCGCGCAACTTGGTCGGGCGATTCGCCGCCGCTGCCCGCTGCAACCCGGAGCTGGAGAGGCCGGGGCTCCTACCGCCGCGCCCGGGCGACGACCGCGCCATCGGGCGCCGCCCCGCCGACGTGTGCATCCCGAGCTGGCACCTGGGCACGCCTGCCGCTTTCGACTTTGCGGTCTCGTAACCGCATCGGCAGGCTGCCCGGGGCATGGCTTTCCAAGGGGTTGGAAGCGCCGCCGACGCGTACGAGGTGGTCAAGCGCACCCACCTCGACACAGAGGCTCTCTGCAGACAACAGTGCTTGCTCTTCATCCCCTTGGTCGCAGAGCCAACGGGTGGCTGGGGCCCGACGGGGGCTGCGACGCTCCGTCTCCTGGCGAGGGCCAGCGACGCGCGCCTGGGCAAGGAGCCGGGGTCTGGGGCGACGTGCCTTTTCCAGCAGCTGTCGGTGGCCATCCGGAGGGCGTCCGCCCGCGCCAGCCTCCAGCGGCAGGTGGAGGAGGCCCCTGCCTCAGGAGCAGTCGCAGCGGCCAGGGACGTTCTGGCAGAGGAAGATGAGGGCTCATTGTAGGCCACTCCCCTGCCTCCTCCTTCCTCCTCCTTCTCCCTCCAGGCCTGGCTGCTCTGTGGAGCCTCTCTCCCGTCGAGAGGGAAGCCGGCAATTTTCGTGATGCGCTGACGCACCGGTGTACTTTTCGGCCCGCTTTCCTTCTTCTTTGCCTTGGCCCTGGCCCCTGGCTCCTCCTTCTTCCCTCTCCTCTCCCCTCCCCCTCTCTCTCTCCGTGTCCTCCCTCGCCCTTTTCTTTCCTTGCCCTTGTGTGGTTTGTGCTGTCCCTCTCCCTTCCGCTGGGCTCCCCCTCCCCTACTACTACCACGACTAGTACTACGACTCCAATTATTACTTCTATTGCCACGACTACTACGATTATAACTACCACTGCGACTACCACTACTACTACCACTACTAGTACGGCTACTAGCACTACTACTACTACTACTACTACTACTATTACTACTACTACCACTACTACTACTACTTTCTCTACTACTATTACTACTACTACTACTACTACTACTACTACTACTACTACGGTTACGATTACGACTACGACTACAAAGTAATTACGATTTGCACCACTACTACGATTACCCATACCACCAACAGTAGTAGTAGTAGTAGTACGACTACTACTCTTACTACGACTGCTACTACTAGTATCTTTGCTATTGTTATTATTACCACTACCACGACTACGGCTACCACTGCAACTACTACTACGACATACTACTATTACTACGACGACGACGACTAGTATTGCTCCCACAGTTGTACTACTACTTCTACGGCTGCGACTACTACTAGTATTACGATCACTACTATTATTATTGCTACTACTTCTCCGACTACTACTTCGACCTCTACTACTTCGACTACTACTTCTACTACTATTATTTTTTGTTACTTCCTGCTACCACGACTGCGGTTATTTTTTCCATTATTGTTGCTATTACTGCGGCGACTACACTACCACCAGCACCATTGCTGCGACTATCACTACCATTACGATTACCAGAACCCCCGCTATGGATACTACGTTTACGACGAGGACGACGCCGTCGACGATTATTAGTTTTTACCACGACGACGACGACTACCATTGCGACTACTACCGCGACTACAGCTACTATTTCGATTGTTACTACTACGGCTACAACGAATACTACTACCAAAGCGACTATCACGAGCATTCTTATCATAATGGCCAGAACGGTTTGTGTTGTTACGACGATTTTAAACCCGACGACGGTCGCGATTTTTGGTACCACTACGAGTACGACAACTACGATTTCGACCACGCCGACTGGTATATTGTTCAATGTTTGTTGCTACTACTGCTACTACTACTACTACCACCACTACTACTACTACGACTTCGATTGCTACTGCTACAGCTACTACGACTACTACGACTAGTACTACTACGACGACTAGTACTACTACTAATACTACTACTACGACTACGGATACGAGTACGGCAGTTGCGCCTATCGCTACGACCCTATTCTCACTATTACGACTTGTTGCTACCACTTCTCGAATTACCACTACAACAAGCCACGACGACGACTACGTTATCTACTTCCCTTATTGCTGCGACCAGCATCATCACGGCTATTACGACCACCGCCCTTCAGATGTTATTGTTATGGTTGCCCGTACCCCTACAATTGTTATTACTCATATAGCGATTCCTATTTCCAGTGTTACTACTGCTAGTACTACTACGACTACTACTACTACTACTACTACTACTACTACTACTACTACCACGACTACCCCTATGACCGCTACTACTAATACTGCCATTACTATTTTTTATTATTACTACTACTACTACTACTACTACGATCGCTACTGCTACTACTACCACCACTACTACGAGTGCTACTACTACTATTACTACTACTACTACTACTACTACTACTACTACGACTACCTCTACGACTACTACTACTACTACTACTACTACTACTACTAGTGTTACTACTACTACGACTGCTACCACTACGCCTACTAACACGACTAATACTACCACTAACACTACTGCTATTACTACTCCTCCCACTACTACTACTACTACTACTACTACTACTACTACTACTACTACTACTACTACTACTACTACTACTACGATTTCTCTCATTACGACTACTACGCTTACGACTGTTACTATTACAAATGCGGCGACGACCATTTCCACGATTATGTTTTGTTTTATTTCAGCAGCTACGAGTACTTCCATGTTTTTTCCCCACATCCAAAGTGGGGTTCTTGTTTTCTCTGGACACCCCGCGCAGGAACAGGAACACACACACACACACACTCACACTCACTCACACTCTCTCATCATCAACCTCATCAGCATCATCGATGATGCTCTCTCACATGCTTAGTCACTCACATACTCATCATCATCATCACTCGCACTCTCTCACACGCTCACGAGCATCATCATCATCATCATCGGCATCGGCATCATCCTCATTCAAACATCATCATCGCCACCACCACTCACAATCAATCGTCATCCTCTTCACCACTCATCTTCACCACCACTCATCATCCTCATCCTCATCATCGTTGAGTAAATTGTGAGGAAGTCTCAGGCGGGAGCCCCCTCCCTATGGGGCCCGCAGATCATGTTGGTAATCCGAGCGGGTCATCGGAAACTTGTAATTGTCGTCACTTTTGGGCTCGTCAAGCCTGAAAATGGAGGAAGTCTCAGGCGGGAGCCTCGTTTGTGAGTGAATTGGGAGGAAGTCTCAGGCGGGAGCTCCCTCCCTATGGGGCCCGCAGATCATGTTGGTAATCCGAGCGGGTCATCGGAAACCTTTAACTGTCGTCACTTTTGGGCTCCTCAAGCCTGAATTTGGAGGAAGTCTCAGGCGGGAGCCTCGTCTGTGAGTGAATTCTGAGGAAGGCTCAGGCGGGAGCCCCCTCCCTGTCCCCCCGTCCCCTGTCTGTCCGTCTGTCGGCCCGGTCTGTCCTTTCCTGTCGTCCTCCGTTCCTCTCCCCCTCCCCTTCTCGCTCCTCCACTCCTCGCTCTCTTGCTCGTTTCTGCCCCTTGCCTGGCCCGCGTTTCTTTGTCGGCCTGTCCCGGTGTCCGAATAAGAGCCGCGGCGCCCCGCACTGCCACACAGGCGAATAGCCCGGCGTGGGAAGTTTTGCCCACAATTGAGAGACTGAGGCGCGTTGTTGCATGAGGCGTCCCGCCATGGCTCCCAGAAGCGGATGGTCTGGCGATTCTTTGTGGCCCCTGCGGCGCCCATGGCTCCAGGGACTGTGCGTCGACCGTGAGGCTCCTTCTAGGGCGAGAGGAGTGACTAGTGTGCTGTTGAGTACCCGAAGGATGGTCGGAAGGGGAGGAGTAAGGAGAGGAGCGCGGGGCATCGTCTCTTCAAAACGAGGACCCAACACCACAGGATGGTTGCGTGACGATGACGAGGAGGAGGGAGGAGGGGAGGAGGACAGGAGGAGGAGAGGACGCGGTGCGCTGTCTCTTCAAAACGAGGACCCAACACCACAGGAATTTTTGGGAAAAACCCAAAAAGGCTGCGGAAACCAAACTCCTTCTCGCCTTTTCGGGCGTCCGGCGGGCCAAGACGGCCCAAGAGGCCCCAATCATCGTGCCAAGACGGCCCAAGAAACCCGAAAGGCCCTCAAGGGCTTCAAAACGGCACGAGAAAGCTTCAAAATGGCCCAGGAGGGCCCCAATAATGAATTGCCCAAAGGGGCCCAAAAACCTTCAAGAGAGCCCCAAGAGGACCATGGGAGGCCGCCGAAAGGACCAACGAGGGCCCCGAGAGGGCTGGAACACGGTACAAGCTGCTACAAGCTTTCCAACACGGCTCAAGAGGCCCCCGAGACGGCCCAAGAGCCTCCCCAGAGGACCCCCCAGACGGCCCGAGGAGGCAAACACATAGTTTTTATTTCGGTTTTCCATGTTGTTTTTTGGTGTTCGCCCTTTCAGCCCTGGATCAGCCGAGTATGGCTCCGAGGGCCTCCGAGGCTGCCGCAAGACGGCGGAGGAGTCTCCTAAGAGGGCCCCAGAACGGCCCACGAGTTCCCCAAAACGGCCATCGGGAGCCGCAAGAGGGGCCACATAGGGCCCCAAGAGGTCCCCAAGGGAGCCCGAGAAAGAGAGAGAGCCATAGGAGGATACCGCCCCAATCCGAAGACGGCCCGAGAGGCTCCGAGGACGGCTCACGAGCCATCTAGGAGGACCGCCGAGACGGCCTTGTGGAAGCAACACGCATGGAATTTCCCTAGTGCCTCCATTGTTTTTTGGGGTTCTCGCCTGTTCGGGCCTGGGTCGGCCGGAAACGGCTCTGAGGACCTCCGAGGCTGCCCCAAGATGGCTCAGGAGGCTCCCAAGATAGCACCAAGACGAGACAAGAGGGTCCCGGGATGGCCACAGAGAGCCGCAGGACGGTTTGAGAGGGGCCCGAGAGGTCGATAGTAGAAGGGGAGGGGCGAAACGAGTAAGAGTAGCTGATAAGAAAGGCGCAGGGAGCTGCTGGCAGACAAGAGAGCTGTGTGTGTGCTCCCATGGAGCAGCAGTGCGGTTGTAACCGCGTAGTCGTTTGCCAGATGGTTGACCTGACGCATTGTTATTTTCTTGGCTTTTTTGGAGACCGGTGCGAACATTAGCTTGTCCTGACAGCGAGATCGGAGTGCAACGAATCACTCATTCCATTAACGTTTTGGGGCCAGCGATTAGCACGTCTTGCGCACACTCATGGGGTGTGCACAATTCCTCCTTCTCATTCTTTATGCAGCAGCTCATTTGCCACAGAGCCCACCGTTTCTCCCAACCCCTGTCGAAGCCATTCCGGGCCTGCCGTCTGCGTGAGCCACCGGTCGCGACGTCGATCCTGCGCCGAAGTCACCTGCCGTGAGCCTGTCTTGTCCTGCTCGGAGTGCACCGTTCAATTCTTTAGTGTCGGGAGCGGAAAAGAGGGGGGTGATGACTAGGGGGGGGTGGATTTCATGGCGCGGGCCATGATTTTTCCCCAGATTTCATGGCGCCTCTTCTTGTTTTATTACGTCCCAGGCCCCCCCGCTGGGCCGCGCACATGCCGCCGGTCATGATTTGCACCCCCCCCTCTTGGACACCCCCCTCTTGGCCGCTCCCGATAGTGTTGCCCCAGTGGGCGCCAGGGGTAGGATTCAGTTGGCAATCTTCGGGAGCGAGGTTCGCACGTGCACAGGAGCAGCCGGTTTTTTGCCTGCAGCGATGCCGTCTCCGGGGGCGCTGAGCCCAAAGGTGGAAGCCGCCGACTTGTCTGGCAAAGTGGGGCGGGGGACGTTCTGGCAGAGGAAGATGAGGGCTCATTGTAGGCCACTCCCCTGCCTCCTCCTTCTCCACTCCCTGTCTCTCTCCTCCTCCTTCTCCTCCTCCTTCCTCCTTCCTCCTCCTTCCTCCTCCTTCCCCTGCCTCCTCCTTCCTGCCTCCTCCTTAAATGTACTCTCAGTAGGTCATGGGTGAGTGAAGACTGGGCGGCGATGTCGGAATGCACAGGGAAACGTCGCTGTTGCGGGCAGTAGCATGGAGAGTCGTGAGAGAGAATCCACGTTGTTGCGAAGTGCAGGTCAGGGCAAAGGGAGAGACTCGTCGACAATCGCTGGAAGAGTGTGGTGGACGGTGTTCACAATCTTGCTGCGGACAATGTTCACCCATCTCGTGCACGCCGTTGTCGTGTGATCCACTTCCCGCCGCCTGCTCGTACCTGAGCATGACGGATCTCACAGTCAGCGTGGGACAGTGAGAAGTTCTACAGTCCAAACTCAATATCCGAACGTAGTTTTTCCACGAGGGTGCCCGCGCGTACCCCCGGACCTGCTGCGAGAGACCGAGAACATCGAGCTTACGCATTGCGTTGCATGTTTTCTGTTCTGTCGTTCTGAGGCTGCGCCCCTCTTTTCCTCCCCCATCTCTGGTTAATTCAAGCTTCGCGCGGCCCGCTTAGCTTGGACCGGAAGAGGTGCGCTCTCGACCCGCGAATCAAAAACTGTTCTGCTGATTTTTACGTTTTATCAGCATCAAGGCCCGCGCGCATCCCGCGCTGCCCAACGCCGGAGCGGGAGGTGGCCATCATCACTGGCGCTACCCGCGGGATCGGGAAGGCCTGCGCGGTGGCGCTTGCCAAGCAGGGCTGCAACATCGTGGTTGCGGCGAAGACGACGGTAGAAGACCCGAGGCTTCGCTTTGTTTCTGCCACGCCTGCCCTTCTGCGGCCAGCCGCGGCCTCGTTGCCTTCACGAGAACCGTGCGCCGCTTTCTCGACGTTTTGCGAACGCCCCTCAGCGGAGCGGTCTGAGGGGTGTGGGAACCACGGGACGACAAGGAACAGGAGGAGGAGCATGATGCTGATGCTGATGCTGATGATGTTGATGATGATGATGATGATGATGATGATGATGATGATGATGATGATGATGACGATGACGATGATCATGTTGTTGATGATGATGATGATGATGATGATGCTGATGCTGATGATGATGATGATGATGATGATGATGATGCTGATGCTGTTGCTGATGCTGCTGGTGGTGGTGATGATGCTGGTGCTGATGATGACGCTGATGACGCTGATGATGGTGATGATGATGATGGAGCATGATCATGAGCATGAGTATGATGATGATGATGATGCTGCTGATGGTAGTGGTGGTGGTGGTGATGGTGATGGTACAGATGGCAATGATGGCAATGATAAGAAAATGATGAGGGCGAATGCAACTTTGGAAAATGAGCAGGAGGAGCAGGAAGCAGGTGGAGTGGTACAACAATTTCTAGACACTTCGCGCAAGCGTTGGGAAGACTTCGTACAGCAGAACGGTGACGGCATCCCAGGGGACAGAGCAGATGAGGAATTGTGGCCCACAGCAAGCTTGCTTCCTTTCGTGTTTTCGATCTACGGGGAATCGATCCCAGACAACGGCCACCCCCCCAACATCCCTTGGGATGGGCAACGGACCGCAGTGGCCAGAGTAGTATACTACCTAATGAGATCCAACGGAAAGTACCAAGGCAAATGGGACAGTTACGCAGCCAACCTGTCAGAACAGAGAGGACAGTGCCCCTTCCAGCAGCGGGTCGGCACACTGCTCACATTCCTTACGAGAATAGACCAGGCCGCCTTGACCTATGGTAGCACCACCGTCCGTTCCAGGCGAGACCCGCGCGAGGCTGTCGTAGGCTCCTCAGACACAGGTGATTCACCAGCAGCAACCTGGCTGAACAGAGCGCTCGGTACCGAGGACCTTCCCCCGCAAGCAGTCAACTCGGGACCCGCACGAGCGGACACTTCTGCCCAGACCCACATGCCATCCCCCCCCGCCTCAGGCACAGAGGGGGGGCGCGTCCCTCGGACAGACGGGAGGGCCCCAACCAGCCAGACATGCAAAATCGAAGGTGAACCTGACGGGGTCGACCGGGGAGGGGAAACGAACAAAAAGAGTGAAACTGAAGGTGCCAAGGATCCGAACCCGGAGCTCAGCCCTACCCCCGCTGCCGACGAGGAGGAAATGGTGTGAAAGTTGTATTAGCAAGGATGTGAGGTATAGGATGATGTTTCGAATTATCTATGTTGCTGCTCTCGCTCGCTCATGCTTGCACTCTCTTGTTCACCGCGGCCGTTTTGGCTGTGGACCCGCCAGCTGTGGCGGGAGGGTGGACGCATTCAACGACTGTCTAGCTTGACATCGGAATAAGATCAGATCATACTCTATCTTTTTCTTCTTGCATCAAGAGGTTGTGGGTGGAGAGATTTGGATCAATATTTACACTGGTAGCCGGAGCTGAATCACTCCGCGGTACGAGGATTTCATACAGAGTGGCCGTGCAGACATATATGCCGTCGCTCACTTACATCCTCGCGGTGCTTAACCACTGCGCTCAGCAGATCGCGGTGATCGACAAGACGCTCAAAATTATTACCTACGACAGCTTGGACGAGGATCGTTGCACCAACGGCATCCTGGGCGATCAGCATAACTACAGCAGCAACGATCAAGACAGCTGCTACATTGGAGACAAGCTCAGTAGCACCACAGTCATCAAGATGACGTCCAGGCAGCAGCAGCAGTTCAATGACGGCCCCCTCTTCGTTGACAAGGAGGGCGTGGTACGCTACAACGGCGACCCAGGCTACCACGCGAGCGAGGAGAAAATCAAGAAGCTCTACGCGATCAAGCTCAAGAGTTCTCTAAATGGACGAGCGTGGACATTCGCACGAAAGAAGGCTGAGATCAGTGCGCAAGCAGTTTTGGACGAAGCAGGTAATGACCCACTTGCTGCAGTCAAACTGGTGGTAACTACAGTGCGACAGGCGTGCGAGAGAATCGCGCCACTACAGAATCAGCAAGCGTTCGAGGAGTATTTCTTCCGAGGTTTTCGCAATCGAACGGAGTCTGTGCAGGGCTACATATCGAGGCGAGAGACGGAGTACGAGCGGCTCAAGTCACTTTCAACGAACACGACCGTCAACGAAGACCTACGGACATACTTTCTACTAAAGCTAGCAAACATCAGCATGCAAGAGCACAAGGCGATCCTTGGCCAATGCAACATCGAGTACATCTGGGACGGCGTGACGGCAGCCATGCTGATACAGCTGGACAGCACAGGCCGAGACGATCGTGGACATGGACGATACGGGGCCTACCCGGTGGACTACGTCGACGGAGAAGAAGATGCTCTACTCGGAGACGAATGTGCACCGTGCGACGAGGGCGTTTTCCTGAGTGATGCGGGCTACGACGCACTTGCAGCGGACATCGACGAGTTCGAGGGAGTGATCGATGACGTGGGCCCGGACGAGATCAGCCAGGAGGAGTGCGACGCCCTGGCGACGGAGGCTCGGCGCCTTGGCTGGAAAGCTGGACGGCGCAACCACAAGCCCAACTACAAGCAGGACCGGGAGCGGCTTGCTCAGAGCAAGTCGAATAGAGGCTGGAAAGCCAACATCAACAAGAAGGGCTCCATCAAGATGGACAGCAAAGAGGCTGAGGATAAGCTGAAGCAGATCAAGGCGCGCACGAAGTGCAACGCGTGCCACAAGAAGGGTCACTGGAAGGGCGACCCCGGGTGCGAAAAGACGAGGTCACCAGCGAGTGGGCCCAGTGCGCTACAACGTGGAGGGCGAGGGGGCGGACGTGGAGGACGAGGCTGTCACGGACGACCTGGGGGTTTCCTACGACGAGCTGGATTCGCAATGGCGACCGCGGTCAAGCTGCTGATGGCGGACAGCTCGATGGACGTGACCGCCATTCAGATTGTCAGCGACCAGCTGGCAAGCAGAGAGGTGGCGATGGAGGAGATCGCGAGTCTGACGAAGGTGAGAATCGACGCCGAGTAGCAGATCGTGAAGCCCTACGCGGTATCAGCAGCAGGAGACCAGCCGAACTTCAAAGAGAGGATCGACCAGGCACACGAACTACACCCAGTACCTGAAGAACATCAAGCGCAATAACCTGACGAAGCCCTGAGCACTCCAGTGAGCTCGGAGGAGAGATCGTGGACAAGCAGACCGACACCAGGGTCGTGGTCAACAGGAAGGACGGGGCCCAGCAGACCAAGCACAGACTACCTGGAGGAAGACAACGCAGCGGCCGACCTACAGAATATACGAGATCGTGCTGGGCAGATCGCAGCGTTGTGGGTCAGCTGCGAGAACGTGGAAGCGGCCTTCAGGGACTGCGTGGATTTCTGTTTGGACTGGGCCCTGCATCGCTTCCAGCAGCTCATGCACATCACCATGGAGATGGCACCGAACGGTCTCAGGAATATGGCTTACGATCTATGCCAAGCAGCCTGGGACAGGACCTCGGAGCTTCGTGACATCGTGAGGAGTACCTGCGAGCGCCTACCGATTGGAGTACGACCGACGTGGTTGTGGACGCAACGCCGAGCTGGAACTAACTACGTTCCAGAGGGCGACCGCTTTCCAACGCCAGGGTGGCAGCAACCTTGCGAGGAGCTGGAAGAAATCGAAGCCAACGCAGTACGACAAGGACTTATTCCAGATGGACATGCTGTACTGGGCACTGCGTGCCTACGTGGATGTGGAGGTTCAATATCACTGGGCGGCTACACAGAGGACGGCAGAGTCAACGCGCGGATGAGAGGATCATCCATGCTCTTCCGAGGCGTGCAGGATAGCGCCCTGGTCATGGCAGAAGGAGAACAAGAGGTGACGGCTGGACTTGCTGGAGCTGGCGTGAACCTACGCTTCCAGAGGTTGCCCAAGTCAAAGACGCCAATACGGCTGAGCATCCACCAGCTGGAGGAGCTCGACACAGTGAGATACATCAAGGATCGGAAGGCGGACTTGAAGGCGATCAACAAGTACGGAGTGCCTCTCAACAAGACGGAGAAGGGACACCTGACGATCTCGCTCAAGGAGTGGCCGAAGAAGGAGACGACACAGACCGAGCCATCAGTCACGTCCGACGAGATCGACATCTGGAATGCGGAGGTCCAGGAGATCGATAAGGGCATCCTGCGGCGGGATCAGAGGAAGCAGATCGAGACGTGGGAGAAGGAGGTTCAGGACAAGCTGGACCAGTGCCAGCAGATCGTGGACGCGCTGAAGGCGGACCCGGAGGAGAAGCGGCCCGTCATCTGCGAGCTCTACGCAGGTGGCATGGCAGCCACGTCAGAAGCTCAGCAGCGGCGGCATCCAGTGACGAGGCCGAGGGGCATCCTGATCGGGGGCGACCTGCTGGGCGCGAAGTCTCAGAAGACCGTCCTGAAGCAGCTGAACGAGGATGACCCCTACATGACCATTGTGGGTTTCCCCTGCGACCCGTTCACGAACATATCCCACATGTTCCCGAAGGACACGAAGATGCGTAAGCTGGCGATCGGCATGAAGCACCTGCAATTCGCCAAGCAGATCTGGATCGACTGCAAGCGCCGAGGAGCTCATATGCTACTGGAAAACCCATTGACGTCAAGAGCCTGGCAGCTTATGCCATGGCTGGGCTCAGAGTTCGTGAGCGCGATGATGCACCAGTGCGCCGAGGGCAGCAACCTGGTGGACTTCATGGGCGATCCAGTCAAGAAGCCGACGAGGTTTTTGACGACGGCCATCATGCTCGGCAAGAGGCTCAACAGCATCAGGTGTGACGAGCAGCACGTGCACACGAGCGTGATCAACAGGCCGAAGGGAGCAGCATCGAGCCTTGGGAA